TATATTGCTTTGCATTGCTATATGCTCTTGGAAAGTTAGCCTCTGTATTATTTACAAAAAATAAATAATACTTCTCTCTGCCTTCCTAGTAGCTATTCAATATAATAATGAAAATGGAAGCAATTGGTAAACTATAGGATATTATTATTATATTTTTTAAAGTATTGACATGTTTTTGGTACTACTGCTTATAATTTTCCATAAAAAGATAACTTTAATCTTAAAAATATACAACTTTTCTGGCACCGTAGAGGCTGAACTGGCACAGTCTTCAGCTGAGTCCTAGGTAATCTTTCCATCACAGTGTTTACTTCCATTTCAGCAGCAGTAGCAGCAGCAGCAGCAGCAGCAGCAATGCTTTTGGGCTTGAGTGAGGATGCTATTGTTCATGGTCATTCTCAATATCGAGGGTCCTTAGCTCCACAATATAACACTTCATTTTATATAGGGAGTTGTAAGCATCTCAGTGCAGCAGTAGGATATTTTTGAACATTTTTTTAATTGTTGAAAAAAAAGTTACCCCATGGTGAAAGAGAATCATGTTTTTCATTAATCATTGATTTCATCACAGCAGATTTCTAATCTTGTAGTGTTTTAAGCCACTAAGACAATATTCAGCTAAGCTTTGAAAAATTACATAAAGAAATTCTAAGGCTTTATAGCAAGTGGCTCTGGATCGAATAACTGTACCTCCTCCAGCGCAGCAGCTGTTTTCTAAATTTCCATCCATTTCTCACTGTCGACGGATGCTCTGGCTCTCTGCGTGATCATACCAACGCATGTGATTTGTGAGATGGTGTTCATTAGCAACAAATAAATAGATATTAATTTGTTTTTCCTCTTAACTCTCCAGTTTTCGGGATAGTTATTAAAAAATCAAAAAGCATTTCACATACATTTTGTGAATTGTAAGATTCAGAAATTCTCTTGACTTCTTAGTGGACTCATGATATTAGTATCTCAGCCTGATAATAACTAGGTGTGAGAAAAGGTTTACAACAAAAATTTTACTCATAAGTTTTGATTTTGTTCCATGTTCAGCCAGTGATTGTTTTGATAAGCAGAAAGAGAATCAAAGAAAAAGTGCTTCAACTTTCAGTGCAGTGTAAAATAGTGTTTATAGATTTTGCTTAATCTGCTCTCTGAAAATCAATTATAATCAAAGGATTGATGTAAAAATTTTTAGCGTGAGAATCTTTTAGCCTTAGGAAAATCAGTTTATCTCCTCTTCTCCACTTTCCTGCTCTGTAAAACAGAGATGATGATATCAATAGTACCATGAAGCATATCAGGTTTCTCTTACTTAACTGCATTTTCACTGTGAAAGTTGTCTTCAGGCAAACTACAGAAAATACCAAAGTATAATCCTCAAGTTGTCAAAATATAATTTTCATAAAAAGTAGATAGTGAGAATGGGTAAGAGTTCTACTTAACTCTTTAATGAAGGAACCAGCAAAGAGACAAAGCAGATTCCTAAGACGAAATGAGAACCTGGATGGGTTTTTATTTTTGTTTTTTAGGGGTTTTTTTTAAAGATTTTATTGGGGAATTGGGGAAGGGGAACAGCATTGGGGAATCTGGGAAGGGTAACAGCCAAGTTGCTGTCCTTTTGTTCTTCAGTCTAGTTGTGGAGGATGCCGCTTCACTGGCCCATGTTGGTATTATGATCGTTGTGCTCTTCCCGGCTGAGGCAGATCGGTCGCCAGCCATTGGATGGCCACTCACAGAGGCTCACGGCAGCTCACGCTGGCTGCCAGCCACTCACGGTAGCTTTACAGCATCCCACTGCAGCCTACACTGTCGCTGGCCACTTACGGCAGCCTAGCTCCAGGTTGAGCTATTGTTCACAATCTTAGCTATAGAGTGGGCAGCATCACTGGCCCATGTGGGAACCGAACTGGTGGCCTTGCCACTCAGGGCTGGGGCTCCCAAGCCAACTCAACCCACTGAGCCACTCAGCTGGCCCCCTGGATGGGTTTTGATAAAAGGAAAAGCTAAAATAAGATTGTTCAGTTATATGCCTGATAGGGCAATGAAAACGTACACTTGGCATATCTTTTCTATCACAGAGAAAATAAGATCATTGCACATCTTCAATTTTTTAAAGTTGACATCTAATTTCATAAAAGCTGTAAAATGTTTCTACAATACTCAATAGTAAACAGTAAGGGAAACAAAGTTACACACTCCTACACTGGATTGATTATATCTGAAGCAGGGGCATAAGAACGCTGTTACCTTTTTGCTCAGGTTCAGAGTAACTTTCCTTAGTAAGAGTGAACTATAAACATATTTAAGGAATTGCTTTTCCATAACTCTACAAACCACCAGCAGAAACTTTTGGACTACTCTCGCCAAGGGCTTCGTGAAGAATCACCTCTCTTTAGCAAAGGATAAAAGTCAATATTGACTAAATGGGAACCTGACATTTTTGCAGCGTTGTTCATATTGAAAAGAGTTTACAGGCTATTTGAAATATCAAATGTATTTTATGATCATACTGATATACATGTATTTTTTTTTAAGCCCCTGAATTATGAAGAAAACCATCAAGTGGTCCTGGAAATTGGAGTAAGCAATGAAGCTCCGTTTACCAGAGAAGTTGCATTCAGAATGACAACTATGAACAGAGCTTTGGTCACAGTTCATGTGAGGGATCAGGATGAAGGGCCTGAATGCAACCCTGCAGCCCAGTATGTACGGGTTAAAGAAAATTCAGCAATGGGGTCAAAGGTCAATGGCTATAAGGCCTATGACCCCGAAACTAAAAGTAGCAACGGTTTAAGGTACAAAGCAATCTATAACCACATACTGATAATGTATTTAAAATAACTGAGACAGTGAAGTCTTTTAATACATTTTATCTTGCTAAAGGCTATTTTTTTATTTTTTATTAACAGGTACAAGAAAGTGCACGATCCGGAAGGGTGGTTCACCATTGATGAAAATTCGGGGTCCATCCAAATGTCCAAAGTTCTGGACAGGGAGGCCGCAGCCCCCAGAAATGACTTCTATAATGTTACAGTCCTGGCACTAGACCAAGGTAAACACAGAAGTTTTAATCTGGTACTTTATAAAGGAATTGCAGAATAATGCAATTATTTTTGTGAAGAATTATTCTTATAATAAGTAAATGGAATTCTTAGATATTACTTTAAAGACCCTGCTCCTGTTTCTCCTCATCAGCTAACAAGGTAAAGCTACTTAGAACCAACAAGCCATGTCTTAATTATTTTTATGCCCCCAGCACGGCGGGACCTTAAATGCTTATCGATCTCTGTTAGAGGACAGAGATGAAATTGAACTCTGAGACTAGATGAATGTTCTCACCAGACTCTTCTAAAACTCTTTATGTCACTTTAAATCGAGCCTTTAAATAGCTCAGCTGGCTAGTAGTTCAAAATTATTCTTTCCTTGAATTCTGTTCCTTAAAGTAAGCCAGAGCTTCTCAACCCTGGTTTCATGTTAAAATAATTTTAAAAAACATCAAGGTATACACACTATCTTAGACTATCTGAGTCAGAATCCCTCGTCTGGGGAGTCTAGGCAGCAGACAATAAAACAATAAAAATAAATTTAAAAAAATATCCCGAGGTGGTGTGACTGTGTACCTGGATTAGAACAGCTTTTCTGTAGTCTCTTTACTGCTTATTAACGTCTGTACCCAAGGAAACCCAAGGAACCCAAGGAAACCCAAGGAAATAGAGTTTGAAATTCAGACATTTATTTTTACTGTTTGGTAATAACTCGGATAAAAAGTTATTGGCAGTTGTATCTGATATTATCAACAGCAGTTCTTATTTTAGATGATCTGCAGGTTTCATTTACCAGTTCTCCTATTATAATAACCCAGCGTTTACTAAAAATAACCATGTATCATGTTTAGAACCTAGCTGATTATATTTCCTTAAGAAACCATAAAAGACTCTACAAATGACACTAAGCCTTTTTCCTTTCTTCCTAGATGGTAGATCATGCACTGGAACACTTGTAGTTAGCATTGAAGATGTGAATGATAATGCACCAGCAATACTTCAGAATTATCAAGTAATCTGCAAACCAAAGATGGAATATATGGACATTTCAGCTGTTGACCCTGATGAACCTATCCATGGCGCACCATTTTATTTCACCTTGTCAAACACTTCTCGAGAAATCAACAGAATATGGACCCTCACCAAAGTTAATGGTATTCAATGGAAAATAACGATTTATATGCTCTGAAATAACTGAGTATGAATTTACTTGTTCACGTACAGGAAACACATAACATTGTTTCTCATTAACATATTTTAGAAGCCTATTGTAAACTTGATCAACATTGTGTGGGGCTTATGTTACATATTGTCCATAAACTTAAAAAAATCATAATTTTTATGAAGGCAAAATTTACTCTTAAAACAAAGACAAAAAAGCTTTGCTAAAATATTGGGCAACTTATTGTTAATTTAAAAAAAAAATTTTAATCTCTTTGCTGTTTTTTAAGTAACTCCAGTTAGGTGAAGAGAGAACAGAAGATGGGCAGTTTAAGTTTGATTGTCAACAAACTCTGGAAATGCAGAGTCTGAGTGTATGGGACAAGCATCCTATAGTATTTTGGAAGGAAACATGGTGGGATATGGACAGACGTCTGGCACTAGAGCTTTCAGGGCAGCCTCTGTGATAGTGGTTTCTGGGGGGTGTAGTTCAGCTATGGTTTACTGCTTCTTTGTTACCGGGTCATGCTCTTTCATGCAACTGGATTTTACTGTGTTCTGTCCCTTTGGTCTAGAATACCTCTCTTCCCATTTCTTAGCTTGACATTAGGTCATAATATTTATGGAACACTTACACTGTTCCAGACCCTGGGGATATATACAGATATTAACAAGACAGACATGACTCCAGTTCAGATGCTCACATCTAGGAACTCTTTCTTGAAGTAGAAGGGTGGGCACTATGACCTTTTGCTACCTTAATTATAGTGCTTTTCAAGTTGTATTATCATCTGTGTACATGTCTCCTCCAATATATACATGAGTTTCTCAAGACATTTGTAATCCATTTTTGTATTTCCAGCACCTAGCCCAGTGCTTAGTAGATGCTAACTGCTTAATAAATGTTTGTTGAATCAGTAACACATGAATAAATATGCATGAAAGAAGGAAAATACTAGGGTAGCAAGGAGATCGGTGTTGTTAGACTTTAGAAAGTTTTAGTAAGAATGCTGTGAGATTGGGTGGAAGGAAAGATAGACTCTGGTGATGATGGTCCTTAGGTACCAGGTGAAGGAGAATGGCCTTTGTACAGTAGGTGGTAGCAGGTATGCATCAGGAGTGTACAAGTAAGACAATACTGTATCCAGATTTATGTCTTAAAAAGGCGACACTGGTGACAGGTGGACAGTCAAAAGAGGGCAGAGCTGAGTCGCAAGGAAAATCAGAGACTGATGCACTCATATGAATGACTGAGACATGACTATGGCTCAGTTTGTGGTCTTGAGGGAGCAGAGGGATTTAAAGGATCTTATCTTAGACACAGTGTGACCCTGAAGGGTCAACATAAACCCAAGCAGTGATTCACATTCCTTTGGGAAGCTTCAGGTATGAGGTGCAGCCAAAAATCTTTGAAGTCCTTATAACTATAACGGTGCATTTAAGCACAGTTTACGAATTACAGATGACTTCCAGGATATGCATTATGCTACTTTGTCATTTCACTTAGTGCATTGCAAAAACTCAAGAAGGCTGTAATTGTCATTTTGAAAGTGCGTGGAGCTTTTGGTCAGTTGATAATAAGGTCATTAAAATAAGGTATCAAGACTGTTGGAGGAAATAGCGCAGTTGATAAATATGTATTGTTATATAGACATAGCTGTTTTTTGTGTGTAATCCTTATAGCTAGCCTGGGTGACATTAATTAGCTTTCTGGTATTGAGAATACTTCTGGGGGCAAGGCATTAATAACAAAGTATCTATTGTGTTTTGAAAAATTGCCTAATCCATAAGGTTAATGGACAGGTACCAGAAGCTAGATGGATAAGAGAATGTGAACTTAAAACATCCTTTGTTTGTAACTATATGTGTTAATTCTTTATGAGTTTCATAAATTGCTACTACAGAAAAATGCTTGAAGTGTTTGTTAAGAGCCAATCTAGAATTCTTAGTTTATAGATAAGGGAATAAATAAGGGAATATTAAATACTGTTGAAATGTTACTGAGTCACTCCAATGCCAAATTCTTTCTTTAAGTTTCTCTCTAAAATGTTACAATGAGCAATACATATGTGATTATGTTAAAGCTTGAAAAAGATGAAGATAGTCATTAATTTTTATTCATTTTCATGTGACAGGTCGTTCTTTCAGAATAATACCTTTACAAACCAGTGTGTTAAAACAAATGCTAAGGGAGGAAGGAATATATGTTCATTAAAAATATAATTCTTGTTTTTTCTTTCAGATACTGCTGCCCGTCTTTCATATCAGAAAAATGCTGGGTTTCAAGAATATAATATTCCCATTACTGTAAAAGATAGAGCAGGCCAATCTGCAACAAAAACCTTGAGAGTTAATCTGTGTGACTGCACGCATCCCAGCCAATGTGTGCAGACTTCAAGGAGTGCAGGAGTATCACTTGGAAAGTGGGCAATCCTTGCAATACTACTGGGTGTAGCATTACTTTCTTGTGAGTCTTTTTATTTAATGTTAAACTATATAAGAAATATCGGAGTTCAGGAAAAGGTCTTTAAAATGAGTCTTGTCCAACCATCCATCGGATGTGAGCCCCCTTTACAAATTCCTTGTGTGTTATTACCTGAGTTCTGATTAATTATTTTTCTGTGAGAAGGAGCAAGACCCTTTCTAAGATAAAAGATTTCATATTTGGACAAAACTGTTGAAAATCCCTCAAACTGTGCTCAAGCTGTCAACGTATAACTTTTATTTCTTGGTCATAGTGCTGCCCCTTTTAAGTGTTATAAAACGATCCAAAACTTTTGCTATGTCGAAGTCCACTAAAAGCCATGTTCATCTCCTGTCTCCTTACTATTCAGCCACAGACTTATGGAGATGTTCAGATTGCAGCAATATCTCTTTTTTGATATTACTTGCCAATTTTTAATTTTATCAACCTCCTCACCAGTTGTGTAGCTCCCAGTGGCACTATATCTTTCCCTCTCTTTTATTTCCACCAAATCCTTCAGCTTACATTAGCTGTTGTTCCTTTGTTCTATGGTAAGAGTAGTGATTAAGAGCAAGACTCGGAAATCAGGCTGTCTGAGTTTGTACCCCAGCTTTATCATGTGCAAGCCATGTGACCTGGGGCAAGTTACTTACCTGTGCTTCAGTTTCTTCATTTGTAAAAGGTGATGATTATAGGAGCCTACTTTATGGAGTAGCACTGAGGATTAATGAATGCATGCGAAGAGCTTAAAACAGCGCATGGTATATTTCTAATAAGTGTTCATTATTTTTCATCAACTCAACAAAATAAATGTCTATCGAACATCTATGATATCCCCCAAATTGTGTCTAGGTGCGTGGGATTCATAAATGAACAAAACAGACAAGAGCAAACAAAACCAAACAGTCTGCCTTGAGACAGTAAACTAATAAATAAATTAAATGTGGTGGGGGAAAAAATAGATAAAAATCATTAGGATTTGTAGTGCTGTAGAATGTGTGTGTGGGGGGGGCGAGGTGGGGTGAGTGGGAGATTGGTGCCAGTGATTGCAATTTTCAGTAGATGGCTGGTCAGGCCTGAGAAGGTAATTTTTGATGATTTTTGGAAAAGGTGAGTCAGCCAAGTGGAGACGTGGGTAAAGACCTTTCAGTTGGAGGGGAAAGTCAGTTCAAAGGTCCTAAGGTGAGAGTATGCCTGGGGAAATCAGGAATGGCAAGGAGGGGAAGGAGGGGAAGACATGGAAACACAAAGGTCTAAGGGGCCACATAGTGTAGGTCAGAGTTGGTGCACGTTTTTTGTAAAGGACTTCCATTTTAACCAATGAAATCTGCCCATATAGCAAGAAAGCAGCCACAGAAAATATTTAAATGATGGTCGTGTTCCAATAGAACTTCATTTATGGACACCAAAATTTGAATTTTTATATAATTTTCACATGTAATAAACTAGTATTCTTTTGATGTTTCCAGCCATTTCAAAATATAAAAACCATACTCATGGGCAGTACAACAACATGTGGCAAACTGGATTTTGGGCTGTAGTTTGGCAATCTGTGGTATCAGAGCTTGTAAAACATTGTAAAGAAGTGTAGTTATTACTATTAGTTTTATTATCACATATTTCAACCTCCAAAATTATGATTTAGAATGAAAATTCTGAATAGAAAAAATACAAAGTAGGTTTAATTTTGAGACTTGGATATAAATCTATTCTGGGAAAAATGTTTTGTCATGCTTTCTGATAGGAAAACCAATCTTTTGAGTATCAATCAGTAAATCTTTTTAAAGTCTTTGGCTTAAATAAATGTCAGTGACTTTTTAAAAAAATAATCTACTTGTTATGATTCTAAATATTATAATACAATGGGTAGAATTGAAATTCTTAAAGCAGAGCTACTATCAAAATATACATATAATCATGCCAAATTTAAAAATCTAAGCTAAATCATGGTCTGTTAATTTAGAAAAGGTCAAGGTGATTCATGGGACACCATACTTGGTGACTTTATTTGCCTCTTGTGCATCCTAGGTGATGAGATACATTTTATGTATGTTAAATTTTATATATTCTTTTTTTTTTAAATTCAGCTATACTGCTAACTTTAGTGTGTGGAGTTGTTGGTGCCAGAAAAAAAAAAGGTTTTCCCGAAGATTTAGCACAGCAAAATTTAATTATATCAAACACAGAAGCACCTGGAGATGATAGGGTGGTAAGTAATTTTTTTAAATGAATATTTATCTCTGATATCTCCCATAATTTCTTAACTCATCCTCATGAAGTGATTTTGAAATTTAGGAGTTAATTTATATTTTTAATTGAGTCACTTTTTGTAGGCATAAGTATTTTTTTATCTGTCAATATTCAAACATTTATGTAGTGGCATTTATTGAATTTTTTAAACCAGATATATTGTTTGCTATCTTTTTTCTACTCTCCAGTGTTATGATTTAAAGCTTGTACTTTGATGTTAGAAATTTATTTTAACAATCTTTTTGGCTCCTCTCTACAATGTATGTTTCCAGGTATAGTTTTTCTCTTTGATTATTTATAATAGGCAAAAACAAAACAAAAAAACAAAAAAAAAACTTGCTACAAGCTCTGAAGATAAACAAAGAAAATATCAAAGAAATATATGTTTTTAAAAAGTGTGTGTGTGTAGAAGATTACTAGATTACTGCCAATCTCTTTTCTTATGTATTTCTTGGGACCTCTGGTACTTGGCATTTATGTTTCTTGTTTTTTGGGAAGTATATAAAAAGAAGTTCTTGCAAGGCATGTTATCACCTCAAAAAGATTTCAATTTGTTTATGAAAAATAGAATCTACTTCTATAGGGAAAAGAAATAGGCAATGACAGTAACCATTAGCACCAATGTGATAGAGCATTGTCTGTGTTCAGAGACACTTTTGACACATAAATATACACCTGCCATCTGGTCAACTGGAAAGGCCTGGCGAAGGAGGTACAGGTTACTCTGTAATTTAAAGAATGAGAAGGCCTTGAAAGTGAAGAGATGCTGGGAATCACTAAAGGGGAGGAAAATAACCTAAAGAATAAAAAAGGAGGTGACAAAGTTTAGGAATTATTCAACAAATAGTAAATAAATTGACGTGAAATAGAAGAAATGATGTTTTGGAGGCTTAAATAGAGGCTTGAAACTTAACTTAGGCTCGGCAGGAGAGGATATAAGACCAGGAGCGGGACTTTCACAAGCCACACGAAGGATTTTGGATTTATTCCTTGGTAAGGGAGAGCCAGGCAAGGCTTTTCTGTACAAAAGTCGCATAAGGCGAGCAATGTGATGCTGAATCAGCAGGGTAATCGAGGAGAAAAGGAAGACGGAGGATTGCTGATACCCAGTGAGAATAAACTTTGGGGAATGCACTTGGAGGTGGACAGAGAGTAGAGAGAATGTAAAACAGCACTGTAGACTTAGCTCCATTTTAGTTTTTTTTCCCCCCAGTTCTCCTCATTAGCTTAGAAATATAAACTCTGAACATGTATTTATTTATTTTATTTTATTTTTTAAAGATTTTTATTGGGGAATTGGGAAAAGGGGAACAGACAACTTGCTGTCCTTTTGTTCTTCGGTCTAGTTGTGGAGGACATTGCTTCACTGGCCCAAGTTGGCACCATCATTGCGCTCTTCCCGGGCGAGGCAGATCAGTC